TTCCAATGTACTGTAGTTGGAATTGTCCTTCTTCGTATTTCTCCCGTATGAAATGATATCGTACGTCTATGTGTTTTGTCCTCTTATGAAACTCCGGGTTCTTAACTAAACGATGCTACCTACTGCCTGCCTATAAGGAATATCTTCATTCAATATTTCCGTATCTTTCTTTTGTTCAAGTGTATGTGATTTGTCTATTGGTATTGAAAGTTCCTTGGCGTCCAGCATATTAAATTTATTAATTATGTTACATGCATAATTTGTCTGATGCACAAATAATGAACCATTTTTCATTATATTTACCTGCATACCTAGGAAATAATCTAAGTGTCCTTTTTTAACCTCAAATTCTTTTTCCAAGTTTGTTAAAAGTTTATTTATTATTTCTTCATTGTCTGCAGCGATTAAACCATCGTCTACAAATATTGCCAAAATAATTTTACTGTTACAAGCATTGAATACACATGCATCCGCTTCGGTACATTGTAAACCAAATGCATTGAAAAAATTCTTAAAGCGTATATTCCAACATCTTGGACTTTGTTTTAAGCCATATAAACTACGCTGAAGCTTACATACTTTATTCGATCCATCTTCTTATCCTGGTGGTTGTACCATGTAAATTTCTTCCTGTAGTTCTCCGTACAGAAATGCTGTCTTGATGTCGAATTGTCGTAGTATTAATTTTTCCACAGCTGCTACTGCGAATATCGCCCTAATTGATTCGTATCTGACCACTGGCGAAAATGTTTCATGGTAATCTATACCGTATTTCTGTGAACAACCTTTAATGACCAATCTGGCCTTAAACTTATCGATATTACCGTCACTTTTATATTTGGTTTTGAACACCCATGCATTACGTAACGCAACCTTGCCCTGAGGCAAATTAACTAGTGACCAAGTGTTGTTTTCGTGTAGTGATTTAATTTCATCACTCATAGCGTGCTCCCACTCGTTTTTCTGTGGGCCAGCCATCGCTTCATCACGATTTAGTGGTTCAACGAGATTGGCGACGAACGACGACACATTATACCTGATCGGCGCTTTTAATGTATTCCGATCACGTAGCACCATGCCACTCCTGTTGTCGACCGTCGTCAATTCGACCTTGACCGGATCGCCCTCGACTTGAGTCCGAGTATCTGTGAATTCTAATTTGTCTGCAATTATATTTTCCAATTTATTACCTTCGTTTTCGTATATAATATCTCTAGACATCGAAATTCTATTTGTTTTCGAATAATACACACGATAACCTTTCGTGTTATCCGAATAGCCAACAAATATTCCTTTTTCACTTTTAGGGTCCCACTTTTTACGTTTTTGCTTTGGTATGTGTGTATATACGACAGTACCAAAAACTCGTAAGTGTTTAATGTCTGGCATTACCTTATAATATAACTCGTATGGTGAGTTATTTTTAACTGAACTGGTTCCTGTTCGATTAAGCGTGTAAACAGCCGTGTTTACCGCCTCCGCCCAAAGTGATACATCCAAATTTTTCGCACAAATCATTGTCCTCGCTGACTCTACTATTGTACGATTTTCCCGTTCCACTTTTCCATTTTGCTGTGGTGTGTAGGGAACTGTTAACTGATGTCGAATCCCGTGTTTTTGTAAAATACCCGTAATTTCTTTATTTACGAATTCTAATCCATTATCTGTTCGTAATATTTTGACCTTAGAACCTGTTTCTGTTTCAACACTTTTTATGAACGTCTCAAAAATATTTTTAACATCATATTTATTTTTAATAAAATATACCGTTCTATAATGCGAGTAGTCGTCTTTGAATAACAAAAAGTATTTTGAACCGCCTATAGAGCTTACCTCCATTGGTCCACATAGGTCTGCATGGATTAAATCACCGACATTGTGATACTCCGTATTACTTTTACTAAATGATTTACGACTTTGTTTACCTATTATACAACTGCTGCACATGAATTCGTCGTCCTTGGCCGAACATACTATTTCGTGTTTCGCCAAACAACTTTTTACGTACTGTAAATTCTGATGTGCCATGCGCTCGTGCCAAACAGACAACCTGTTTTCGACAGCTACAGTCGCGTACCCGTTTGTCGGTACTTTGACCTTGATGTTTAATTCAAACAACCTTTCGCATCTCTTACCTGAGCATACGGGTTTCCCCTGTTTAGTTAACATACACGTCTTATTATCTGACGTCATTACTAAACCTTTATCCATCGCGGCTCCGCACGAAAATAAATTACATTTTTAGTCCCGGCACGTGCAACACGTTTGCCATGTAATTTTTATTAGAATTACCGTTTACATATGATAATATATTAATATTACCTCTACCTACTGCATACAGATTTGTCCCATCACCTATAGTGATTTGTTGAGTGTTGTCCAGTTGTTCATAACTTGAAAACCACTCTCGATTTGCGCTCATATGATCCGAAGCGCCCGAGTCTAGTACCCACGCATCTGTTGCAATATTATTTATTCTTGACTCGCTTACGAATGCGTTCAAGTTCGCACCTATAGTACCGGTTTTACCACCGTGTACACTTTGTAGAAAATTTCTACAGTCTCTTTTATAATGACCTAGTTTACCACAGTAATAACACTTAATAATACTTTTATTAGTAAATTGTTTTTTACCTTTTCCATAATTACGACTGCCGTTTCTTCTATCAGATCTGTTTTGAAATTTGGCCGGAAATGCACTCGATTTCTCTTGTTCACCAACTTCACCTTTGATCTGGATAACCCATGATTCTTCAATCAACAATCGACTAGTCAAATTATTTATATTTTTACTTCCCGTTGGGACTGAATCCCAAGCACTGTAAAAATTATTATATTCTTTTGGTAATGTCATTAGTATTTTTGTCATAACCATGTTATCCGTAACTGGTTCACCCGCTACTCTCAGTTTCCTTCCTAAATTGACCAATTTAGAAATATGCGTCGACATGTCATCTGTCGACTCCTTTGAATAACTGAAAAATTGTTGTTGAAGCAAATGTAAACTTGCCTCAGATTTCTGCTCGTAAATACTCAGCAGTTTCTCCCACATTTCCAATGCAGTCTCACAGTTAATCAAATATTGTAATGGACCATCGTCCACTGAGGTAACTATTGTTTTCTGACATTTACCTCCGCTTTTTGCCAAGCGTTTGTATGCCTTTGCCAACGTGCTTTGGCATCCTCGTCGGTCTCTCCTGCCGACTTTTTTATAGGTAGACTTGTTTTCGTCCATTCACCTGAAACTATCTCACCTACTTCCAAGGCATTTAGAATGACCTTCATCTGGAACTTCCATAACGACCAGTTTTCCGCACATAATTTTGTTATCTTCACCGTGTCTTCCATGACCGATGGTTTTCCGTATACTTTCCTGTATAACAATTTATAACAAAACTTTACCTATGTACACTGTTCCGCCGTTTTCCGAAATCCAGGATATCTCCGACTGGTTGTAGTTTTCTGCGTTAATACAAATATAAAAATACTTCGATCACGAATCCACTAGACTGTATGTCTTGGTTATTGACTGGGCCCATAACCTGTTGAAAGTGAAACTTGACGGACTAATGATGTTAGCATTAATATAATAAGTAATAACACGACAATATGATTATGTATAAGTATAATATATAATAACGTACAACTGGACAATTAAACTGTCACAGTACACACACATCGTATACGCTCTGTACAACGACGCCTGTGCAAGTGAATATTACATACATCAAAGGCCCTATATATATGCATGACCGAGGTCATGTTACATCCGTAAAGAGAGTGAGTCTTATGCTCGTACATAACTAGTTACTAGTGATGGGCAACGATATCGATAATTCGATACGATATCGATATCGTGACAAATTTCCGACATCGATATCGCTTTTGTATTGCACGATACATCGCGATATCGAAAATAATATTTTTCGAGAAAAATACATGGTATTTACTATGTAATACAAGACATGAATTCAAGACAATATTAAAATAAAATAATTATGAATTTATTTTCTAGGATACAGCTATCGGGGTTGAACACATTTAAGGAGAAGTCAAAAAGGGTTAACATAAAATATAAAAATTTAAAACAAATGTAACAAAATGTATAACAAATTTATTGTAAATAAAAATAACTAAGTAATAAGTAATAAATAACTAATAACTAATAAAGTAATAAGTATGTATGTTAAATGTGTACGATGTCGGTGTACTAATAATAAACAATAAATATTAATTAGCTTAATAAAGTAAATTCCTTAGTGTGATATATATTTAGAAATTTAATTAAATGAATACGAAAAGTTTTTTTAATTGTTTAGGTAAACATAAAACTATATTTATGATACGATATCGATATCGTAGAAATAACGATATCGCGATACAATATCGGAAAAATCTGAACGATATCGATACAGAAAATTATATCGTTGCCCATCACTACTAGTTACTATATTGTACACACGTGTCAAGGCTGACTACATATACTACATATTAATTGTATATTTCAACAATTTAAATAACTAGGAATTTAACACATATTATTTTCTCTAAAATGTCATTGTTATATTAGATCATACAATAAATACGAATTATATTTTTATATGAAACATCTATAGCCTCACGTATACGGATTTCTCGTATACGCATCACGCTATATGATGGTATATATATACAGTCTATATGCCGTAGAGTGTACGGTGTGGCGACGCGTCGCCATGAGCAATCGACTGTGCGATTCTCTCAAATATTAATAATAATATTAAAATAATAATAATATAAAATAATAAAATATATAATTATAAAATATTAAAATATTAATAATATAAAATAATAATATTTTTATTTGGTGAAATGTACACTAACCTAACCGTGGATATTACGGGGGGTCGGTTTTATTCCGTTTTATTCCCGGCGCTTCTTATATGAAATGTTTTGACCGATAAAGGTCGCCTGTTGTCTGTCGTCGGTATTTCGAGCCTTTAATATGTTAACTGTTCAACATGGATTTAGTAGTTTATAATGCTACAGAAGTTCATGTCCCCCAAACATCTATTGGCGATATGTGTGCTTCACACGTTAAACTAGAAGATGGAAATGAATTGATGATGATTGTTGTGTACATTTCACCTAATGAAAAAATAAATGACATAATTTCATTTTCACACGAGAGATTATTTCCGTACAGTCACAGAGGTTCAATAATTTTCAAAACCAATAAAGACAAACTACCATTGATTTTAGCTAGGGATTTCAATGTAAATTTTGCAAAAGATGAATCAACGCGATTAATTACGTTTCTCCAAGAAGAATTTCAATTACAAATTAATAACAATCCAAGAGAACCTACCACCAGATACGGAACAACAATAGATGCTGTATTTATTAGATATCTTGATAATGTTATGTCCAACACTTACTTCAGCTACCATCGACCAATTGTCACAGTAATACCGTCGTCAGTGGCAACATCGAATGTCACTATTACCGAAGTCACTGATTAAAGGAATTAAGTAGTCACGATTTGAAATAAATTCGTAAATTTTTGTATTTAATGAAAATAAATGTTTATTAAATAAACAGTCATCATTATCTGAAAAAAAAATCGTAATATTTTATTTTATTATTATGACATATTTAGTTCCTATTGCAATCTGTTCTTTTCTGCATATTACTTTTACAAAATAATGTCGATGTTTCACATCTGCCAGGCGTCCCGTGACGGCTCATATTTTTGTTTTATTTTTCGTAAATTATTTCAAATGATGTGTGATTGGGTTTTTTGAAAATACTATTTTTTTCTCTTCAGTTATAGGCTATCAGCTCTGCAATCCACCGTAGGATAGCAATATATACACTACAGGTACATGTTTATATGTATTGTATTGGTTAATATAATTATGTATCTATATTATGTTATTTTTGTTTTTGAAATTATGATTGCATATTTCACAAAATATTCATTGTTATATATCATACAATAAAAACATACATATTATATTTGTTTGAATGTATATTGTATATAGTTTCTAGTTTGTATTTTTCGTAAATTTATTTCATATGTTGTGTGATAGGGTTTTCACTGGCCTACCTGATTTGCTGCAGCACACTGTCCGCTACCCGACGAACTCAGATTGCCTACCTAGGTGGCTAACTTGAAAGTTAATCGATTTTAACTTGAGATGACTGAATTGCTAGACACTCCAACATGGTTTTCGACTTTACACGTTTTACATAAGAAAAGGCACTGGACATACGAAGGCACATACCACTCTATGTGATATACCTACTATATATAGGTGATAGACGGATTGCTCATTTTGGTTTCGTCTTAAACGGTGATGATTGACTTGCTAGACACTTTAACATGCAGGTTTTTGCATTTTTTTTTTTAAATTAATATATATACACTATAGGTACATGTTTATATGTATTGTATTGGTTAATATAATAGTATGTATCTAACTATATACCTATATGTTAATTTTTTTTAGGAATTATAATTGCACATTTCTCAAAATGTTCATTGTTATATTATATCACACAATAAATACATATCATATTTTTTTGTATGTATATTGTATATAGTTTAAATTTTTCGTAAATTATTTCGTAAGTTGTGTGATAGGGTTTTCACTTATAGCCGCTTGACATCGGGTCTGCAATCCACCGCAGGTGGATTGCCTAACTGATTTGTTGCGGCAAAAGTCGGATTGCCTACCTAGGTGGCTAACTTGAAAGTTAATCAATTTTGACTTGAGATGACTGACTTGCTAGAAACTCCAACACGGTTTTCGACTTTACACTTTTTACATAAGATAAAGCACCGGTCATGCTACGGCACATACTACTCTATGTGCAGGTGTACTCTATATAGGTGATCCTGGAGATCGTATCCAGCCTATCCATTTACAACGTTTGTGACGGATTACTAGACGCTCAAACTTTTAACATTCCCGCCAAAGCGTCTAACCTTATCTCCAATCCATATCACTAATCCTTATCAAAAATCCTAAACTTTCGTCTTACAACCTTTGCGACTTTTATAATTCCAACGATATTGTCTCCAAAATCGGTACCAACTCTCAGAGAGTCCAACGGGCCCCGAGTTACACTTAGAGCTAGTATATTATAAAATAAATATTTTATTACATTCTGCCCACCCTGCCAACATGGTCTGCGCACGCTTATGATTATCATCATACTACAACTAGGTAGGTAAAGTACAACATTAGTAAAATAGTACTTACCGAAAATGTTTTAAAGAGTGGTTTAATCCGTCAGCCGAAGAACTGAAGAAGGTAGTAACGAATATCGCTACCTTTTGAAACTATATTATATTATAGTAGGTAGGAACTAAGCACGTATGAATAATGAAGTATTATAATAAATTAATAATTAGTAATAACAGCATTCAATAACTTAAACTTTTGTCACTACTCACTGAACTACTGAAGTAATCAGTTTTAAAAAAAACAATATATTAAAAAGTCCGAGTCATATATTAATTATATGATGCATAGTCGTGTGACCACCGGTGGGTATATGGCGGCGGTTAACGTGTTAAATTCAAATTTAACACCACCCATTACAGTCACCCAATTGAAACCTACTGTCGAGCAACATCCACTTATCCTCTTATTTGTAATAGTTTAATTATCTATGTTTATTTGTTTAACACGTATATGGGACCCCCCCATGGCCTTAAAAATTCTGGTATCTGGTTGCCAGTTCTTTTCATATAATACTGTTATTGGTTTTATAGACGTGAAAATCATATACGGTTTACCCGGTGGAGGGGAGTCGTCATCCAGACAGGCAATGTGTTTCTCAGAGCCGCAGAAAACAGTACGCCTCCTGCAGAAAGTGACGAAACCTGCGTCTACCTGTAATATACTGTGCCTATATTTACTAAATATGTCTGTATACAGTGCCACTATACGTACCACCCAGGAGGTTTAGTTCCTTCAAGACTTTCACCAGGCATCATCCCTAGGAAGGCAATGTGTTTCTGGTAATTGCAATCATATATTTATAGAAATTCAAAATTCCCAGTAGTTTTCATAAACGCAGGAAAACACAAAAAAAAAAAAATTAAGGAAAAACGGGAGTTTTACTCAAAGTCCTTATTTAGCGTCAAGGTTATGTTCCTAGAAAACAAAACTATTTAAGCGAGAAAACGTTAAATTATACACTTTCTCACGTACTTCATTGGAATGTGTTCCTGCCCATAAATAACACGGTCAAATATAATAGATAATATAATAACAAGTAATACGAGACAACTAGTGCTGGACAGGATAAATCACATAGTTAAACAACTTGCTGTCGATCAAATGAAGAACTAATATGAAATATTACGAACATATAATATGATCGGGACTTTCAGAAACACATTGTCTCCCTTGAGATGATGCCTGGTGACGATCTCGGAGGAACTAAACCACCTGGGAAGTACGTAGTGGCACTATATGCAGACCTATTTCTAAAATATAGGCACAGTGTATTACATGTGTTAAAGGTTTTATGTATAATCCGAGCGGAATAACTATAAATGATTTGATAGTTTTATTTTTATCAATTTGGATATTTATTTACGATTCAACAAGTATGGACAATAAATGCAAATCAGCGGAGAGGTGAGATTTAGGTGCAGGACGGACGGAACGCCAAGATCGATATATAGGCATCTCACTGAGTTCTATCGGCTATGTCCGGTTTGGTGCTATTCGTCGTTGTGTATCTGCGGCCTGCTGTTCCGCTCACTACTGTTAAGGCCGGTGACACAGCAACTACCACTACTTCTCCTTCTCCTTCTTCTCCTCCGCTTCTTGCACCCCGTTGACCGTCTTCTTGGACGTCTAGCCGCGCACTTACTCCTCCTCCTCCTCCTCCTCCGGCGACGTTTGCCACAAGGGTTTGAGCACCCGGCGGCTGCCGTCGTGAGGATGCTACCACCACCGCCGATGGTCGACGAAGCGTCTTCTGTGGTCTCTGCATCAGTGGCCTCTGCGTCGGTGTTATCATCGTCGTCGCTACCACTAGCCTGATATAGACGGCGACGTCGCCGACTGCCCCTCCGCCGCCTTCTCGACCTCCTCCGGGAAGACGCGTCCACCGTTGACGAGTCATCGTCGTCTTCTTCGGTATCTGTAGCCGTGTCGTAGTCGTCTTCTTCGGTACCACTAACGCTACGTCTCCTGCCCCGACGGCGACGGCTCCTCCTCGACCTACGCCTCCCGGATCGGAGACCACGTCTCATTTCTACTTGACCACTAACACCAGAGAAAGCGTCGGTAAGATCGTCTGATACGTCTTCGCGATTTCTCTGCGTCACACATCGTTTTTTTTGTTGCAATTTATTTGCCATCGATTGTTTTTTAGTCCGTTTGTCAGCCATAATAAACGACGCGGTTTGTTCCCAGAATAAAGTTTCAACCACAGACGGCACTCATAAGATTTTTAAAATAATTAATATTCTTCCTTCACAATACTGTCGGATAATATACAGTGTCTCTACAACTCAACGTTTACATAGCAAACACGGTGGTCATATTTTTATTTCAGCCAGCAACAATAAAATATAAACGAAATCCGATCGTGACTAAAAGTTTACTAAACTGAATCCCCCCCGTCCGGGTGCTGTAAAAACGTCGTCCTGGCACCCGGAACCTCCAAAAGTCAACCGATCGATCCCGGACATATTTCATTTTTTTGTACCCGATTTGTATCCATTTGAACCCTCCTTAAAAAAATTTGGGTTAACTCTGACTTTTGGGTCTGGGAGAAAAAAAGCGAAAAAATTTTTAAGTCCATATCACATCTATAATATTATCACTACAGCAATACTCTGCAGTGTTGCCATAATAATAATTTTATGTACCACAATAATAATTTTATACTACGTAACATGAACTATTACACAGGACTGGACACTACAGAGAAAATGACGGACACAAAGTTGTACAAGGTTCGTACACATGCGATGTAACTGCACTCTGCCTGTTAGTAGTACGAACTACGTTTTTTATAGGATAACACCATGGACTAAGATAAACAGGTACAAGTGGTACAAGTGCGATTTTAACGCCATCTATGATCCATTCTACGAAATATTAATACATTAGTGTCCAGTGATCATCATTTTTCGTTACAGTATAAAAAATAAATATATCCTTGTAACTTGTAAGTTTGTATTAATTCTTTAATAATCTTTGCTTAGGTATACATATATCTAACTGAAATAAATTTGTTGTTTAAAGTACATAGCATACACTGTATTGATTCAATTTTAAATTATTGTTGAAAATAATTTTAAATTAAAAGCAATTAAGACTTAAGTAATAACTAATTTAGCAGACTTCTTTTTCTTTGAATTTATTTTTTGTTGGTTTTTATTTTCCATATTGGAATATTGTCGCATTCTTGTTGTAATATAGTACTTGAGGATAAACATTAAAATTTGATTTTTATGTTCACTACAAGGAAATATTAATAATCCGGCTTTATTATCCAGAACATCATCAAAAGTGTCCTCAAATACTGACATCTTATTACAATTTTTTAAAAAAGAATTTTCAGCACCTCGTTTTAACTGAGGTATAGTGCATTTCATTTCTCTGTTCATCTGTAATTAGTACCTAATTAATGTTATTTATAATTTAATTATTTACTAATATAAATATTTCATACATTATTTGGATGATTAGCATATTCATAAATAATGTCTAGGTTTTTAAAATGCTTTACACAAACAAATGTAGCAAGGCAATTTCGACCATTGGAATTTGAAATTGCTTCATTCCAAGCAGTTAAATTAACCACATCTTTTGGACTTTTAAATAAAGTGTGTTTTTTTCCCTCTGAAGATCCCGTACAGTCATCCACAGAGCATTTTCTCGGCATTTTAGCGAATAATAAATGGATAATATAGTTGGTAAAATGTAATGTGCATTAAATACTTAATGCTAATACCTAAGAGCTAATAGGTGCGTATAAATCACGGGCTAAGATAGAGTCACAATAGAGTTATCTTAGTTTATCTTAGTCCGTGGTATAAATGTATTAAACTATTGTACCTAATTGTGGGGCAACTATCCAAAACGTACTATTTCCATTTTACACTTTTTTGAGAAATCACGATTTTGGAAATAGTACGTTATGTATTTAATTCCATTATATTCCCTATCTTCATAGTATGGGAAATAGTACATTTTGGCCTACTTTGGAAATTGGAAAAACAATTTGAGGAATTGGTACGTTTTGCGTCAATTTGTCAATAAACAAACTATTTAACATGGACAATACTACGTTTTGACGTAATTTTGGAAATAGTGCATTTAGACAAATGTTGGCTTTGGAAATAGTGCGTTTTGCGTCATTTATGAGTTTCAGATTGATTTTAACAAGGGAAATAGTACGTTTTGTCACAATTTGATTGCACTATTCGATTCCCTGCCTTAATTTCTATAAGAATCATTATGTAACTCAATTTCTTCAATTTTGGCAATAGTACGTTTTGGATTGCCGCCCCACAATTATAAACAGAAATAATATGCAAATAAATATATGTGTAACAAATGCTAAATAGTATCAATAGATAGAGCCACATTTGTCCATGTACTACAAGCGTTACACTATGGTTCCGGCTACCTGCACTCCTCCCGTCTATCGTTTCCAGTCCTGTTTATCTTAGTCCGTGGATAACACTAAAGAATAGTGATATTAGTGATAATAAATAATAATAAATAGTAAATGCCGTGGTGCTAATGCTAAATAGTAAGTTTAATAATGATTTAATAGCTGTCAGTTTTTGACGTTTCTGTAGGTATATAAAAAAAATATTCCATTTCACAGCCTGTCTTTCCGAACTAAGCTAATATAGCAAATTAGTAAAATCATTTTATAATTGTATTAGTTTGAAAATTAAATCTAGTTTAAACTGTGTGATTACTGATTATTAGTATTATTATTTTTTGATTATTAGTATTATTAGTATTCAGTATAATTTAACTTTTAATTAATTAAAGGTTCTATATAACTAATGACTCTGTACCTTAAGAATCTTTTTATCGTGAAGCCGGTTTCGTACATTTTTTATTAAATGTGGAGCATCAGACAAAACAAAAATTTTCCTTTTTTCATTTGTTGGGTGTATAAAGAAGTTTTTAAAATTACTTGTTGAACCACTAACTCCAAATTCTGCCCAAAGCCTTCTATTTGTAGCTGCACCATCGCAGACAATTGCATCAACTTTTGCACCAACATTTTCCAACATTACTATGGATTTTACAACAAGTTGAACTAATATGATACCTATAATAGAAATAGAGAGATAAAATGTGTTTTATGATACCTACATATAATATAATTACTGCTTAAAGAGTGAACAGTTTAAGCATGAACTACTAAGGCGGTATTTTATATAACAAAATATTTCTTATCTCACAGATGGCGCTGTGTCGCATGTGTACCGAATATGTACAACTTTGTGGACGATCCCCTACTCTCCTCCTGCCAATAGTGTCCAGTCCTGTGTAGTAGTTCATGCTACGTAATAATCACAAAAGTATTCTAAGGTCAAAATAATCAATTTATTCACTCGTTCATTTTCCAAAGTAATTAAGTCCAAAATAATATTTCAAAAGTGTAAACTATTACGACCACCTAGGCTTTCGGATTTTTGATTTTTCCATTTTCCGACCGCTTTTCACGGACCCCCTTGGCTCTTGGGTCTGGGAAAAAATGTCGAAATATCGAAAAACGTCTAAGAGGTTTTTTATTCGTATATCGTATTAGAAAAACATCCGGTAGTCACATTTTTGATTTTTCCATTTTTCCACAATTTTTCACGGACCCCCTTGGCTTTTGGGTCTGGGAAAAAATTGTCGAAATATCGAAAAACGTCTAAGAGGTTTTTTATTCGTATACCGTATTAGAAAAACATCCGGTAGTCACATTTTTGATTTTTCCATTTTTAATTAATTATTTGTATTATTAAAAGTGATTTAAACGTAATAACGTAACGTAACGTTATTTGTTACATAAAATATTCGTATTTGAATTGCATTCGCCTTACTTGAAATTATTTTTATTTCATTCAAAAAGTAGAGCTCCACAAATATCGTTAATTTTTTTTTTTTTTTATTTTTTTTGAAAATTTACAATCTATACTAACTAAGCACAATAAGTAAATATGATGACAGTTTACAAGAGAGAAAAAAATAACATGAATAATATGAAGAGGGAGGCCATCCATTGATGGAACCCAACGTGAGTGTTATAATTGATGAGTCGCATTTAAGCAAGACCAACTTACATAAGTTTGGTTATGACGGTTGTAAGCAGTGAAATAAGAGGGTTTAGTATTAATTTGAATTCATTTATGAATGAAGATAATTGAGAAGCGATTTCCGAATGGGGAGTTGGGTTATTTGGAGGAATATTTTGATTGTCTTTGAGGTGATGTTGGTTTGGCGGGTGGTGAGTTAGGTTGGGAAAGGACGAATTGTCGTTAATATTTAGAGGATCACGTTGAGTTTCGGAAGAAGAGACTCCCCCATTGTTTACAATTTGACTGTAACTTACACTAGGTTTGGATATTTGTGCATTGTAATTTGTTTTTGTTTTTCCGAAGTGAAGGCGTTGAAAATCTTTGTGGACTTGACATCCACGGTAGTTTGCCGTATGATTTCCTTGACAGAGGGCACACACTGGTGGTTGGTCCTTGTCCTTAGTACAGGAGGAAGTTGGATGGTTGGCGGCACATTTTACACATCTTGGGGCGTGGGCGCAGTAAGATTTTGAGTGTCCGTATTCTTGGCATTTAATACATTGTACCACTGAGCGTTTCTTATAAGGTTCTTCAATTTTTATTTTGGTATTTAGTAAAAACTTGATAGAGAAAATGTCCTTGTTGATCTCGGCCGGTTTCAGGTCGACGAAAAATATTGGAAGTTTTTTTTTATTGATTTTGTTTATAACATTAGCAACGTTGCGGACGGAGAAGCCACCAATATCCTCAATCGCTATACCGATTTCAGATGTAGGCGTAGATGGGTGGATATTACGGATAGCTATTCTGAAAGGTTTGTCTTCATGAGCTTGATAGGTATGGAAATCGGCTTTGCGATCTTTTAGATATTTTATTAATGCTCTGTAAGAGTCGGGGTCAGTAGTTTGAATTTTTAAGTCGCGGGTTGATGATTTAACTGAGAAGTTGTTGACGCCAAGTAATTCTATTAATTGGGCACGAAGTGTGAAATAATCCGACACTCCACGAACAAAAATGGGTGGAGGCGGTTTAGGTTTGGGTAGTTCTGTGTCCAAGATCATATCAGATAGGTTGTGGTTAGAGCCGGTGTTGTTAGATACGGTATCGTCGATATTAAGTTCATTGTA